TCTGCAGACTGTTGAGGGTTCAGCCTCCTGATGAGTCGGTGAAACTCCGACGAAACAGTTTGTCACAGCCCCTCGTTTGTTGTCCTCTTCTCTCTCTCTGCCAACGGTTTACCGGGCAGTTCTGTTTGTGACGATATATGTATACGCGCACACACACACACACACACACACACACACACACACACACACACACGCACACACACACACACACACACATAGCGAACATGACAAAACACACATACACACACACACATCACAGCCCCTCGTTTGTTGTCCTCTTCCCTCTCTGCCTACGGTTTACCGGGCAGTTCTGTTTGTGACGATATATATGTATATAGGTAGATAGGTAGATAGGTAGATAGGTAGATAGGTATATAGGAACATATATAGCTTACTGACCATTCTATGGGTACATCTTCGTCGGTTCCCTCCACTGCAGTCTCTCTTTTCTTGTACTGCAAATTGCTGTAGTGGGGAAATGTTTCATAAGCAAGCCTCCGATCTCGAGCATCGAGAGGTGTCCACGTCAGCTTGTAAACACCTCCTCCTTTTCCTCCTCCTCCTCCTCCTTCTCCTCCTGCTGCTCCTGAAGCCGATCCCGATGCTTGGCTGAGATCTCCGCTTCCCACTGCCACGTCAGCAGTCCCAGGTGACTGGCTGATAGGCGCTCTGTGGATGTCGGCCAGATACAGGTAACTTCCTGTGCCCCAAGCAAAGTCCAATCTCTTTCTCCCTTGATGAACTCTCACCGAAAGTTCGGGAATCTCGGAGTAGGACGATGGCATATCCATTTTGATAGTCGACGCCGTCGACATGCTGTGATATTCAACAAAAAAAAAAATCAAAACGAAATCTCGGCAGGAGGAGGAGGAGGAGGACAAGGAAGAGATTGAGGAGGAGAAAAACGAGGAGGAGAAGGAAAGAGACGTAGAAGGTAAGGACGGTGGAGAAAGAGATGGGAAGAGAAAAGCCGCAAGAAAATGAAAAAAGAAAAAGAGAGACACAGAGAGACAGAGAGAGAGAGAGAGAGAGAGAGAGAGAGAGAGAGAGAGAGAGAGAGCCCGCGCTGAGATTTCTCTACCACCCTGAGTAGTACACCGGAGCGGCCGAAGCACGAATGAAAAAACGAGAAAAAAAAAAAAGGAAAAAAAGGGCGTGAAAAGTTGAGAAAAAAGAGGGCGCGAAAAATTGCCGAGAGAAACAACTGCCGCGGCCGTAGGGCGGGGGGGGGGGAAACAAGAATTGGCGGGAAATACGGCTTATAAGAAGAAGAAAAAACGCGGGAAGAAGACGAGACGGGATTCCGTAGCAGCTTACCCACCTTCCTACCTCCGCTCAGGCCTTGTACTTCAGCTTCCCTCCAACTTCCCCCCCCCCCCCCCCCCCCCCCCCCCCCCCCCCCCCCCCCCCCCCCCC